CAATATCCTCCTGTACCAGTCAGATCTGATTTGAGCGCGCGCGCACGCACACGCACCCCCCCCAGTTAATGAGTTAATTGGCGTAATCACCAGTTTAGTGCATTTGTTTTACCTGTTTGTTGTGTAGGTCTTAACAGCTTGCAGGTGGTCCTCAAGGTACAACATTTAGTCTGTATTCACCTGGAACAGTAGAGGAATGAGAGCCAGGAATAGGAGGAGGAGGACATGGACTGGGTGGCTAATTGCGTGCATAAACAACAGCTCCCTTTACCATGAGACTGGAAGAACTAGATAGTGTCCAACTACCACTACTGAGCACTTTGATCAAAGATTCTGTAGAAGAATCTTGATCTTAAAGGTGGGAGTGCAGAATGGAATTTCAAATTTTTATGGCCTCTGGGCTTTCTGAAATCATGGAGAATGGTCGAACTCCTGAAACTATTGTGCTGAGATAATCTTCAAGCTGTATACCAAAAATATCCTCTGAAGTCTTCTTAGAATGAGCAACATAAACTCACTGAGGTCAAGTCAGTTAAAAGTCATAGCAACCCTCCACTGGGCTATACATCTGTACAAAAGGAGACTCCTGCAGTTACAGCCCAACACATAGTACACTATGCCACCAAATGGTAGTGTAGCTTAACGAGTACAAAAAGATCTGTCTCTTTTAAGAAATAACTTTATGGGATCAAATTCACAACAATAGCTCCAAAGAAATAGGAGATTTAAGAGGCTGTTAGTTTGTATTAATAGGGGAGGAACAACTCAGAAAAGGAGAGAATGCACAATTTGAAAAATGCAATCAGTGTCAGTGAATTTTACATGTAGAAATTATTGAATTCCTGTTATGCCTGGATTCTAGGTTGTATGGGTGTACCATATTGTGTTGTGTTTATCCGTTCAGCAGTTGGCAGATACTTTCTTTTCCATGTTTAGGCTACTGCACAGTTGAACGCACCTGCTTTCCGTTATAAAAGGAGCAATGGTAAAATGGGAACAGCCAAGTCTGACTTCTATTAACTCCATAAGGGGAAATTGTCCTCACCAACATCATCTGCAGTATAAAACCTTTAGGGTCAAACATGACTCCCCACCCACCCCATGCTCCTCCACCTACTTCTGTTAATCACTAGGTCCAAATTACCAACGGACTGTATAGAATCTCTTTTTCTACAGTTGTCATGTTTATTAGGGAAATAGGGAATAGGGGAGGCAAAGGACACCACACAGTGAAAAGCCAGGTTAACAGCAAAACACAATTCCTCAGTTCAGATAGTTTCTCAGTCAACAAGTGAAAGTCCAGGTTCATTCTAGCAACACAAATGCAAGACACCCCTGGTTTTCTCCGTTGTCCAGCAAGCTTTGTCTTATGGCAGTCACATGTCAGCTCTTCCTTCAGTCTTCCGGCAAGCGGAACCTTTATCTCTGGCTCCATCTCCAGGGCTCCATCAGGCTACACTTTGCCAGAAAAATTAGACAGTCTAGTTATCTCTTTCTCTCATGTTGACCTCTTAGCTATTGATGATGTAGAAGACATTGATCTACAGCAAACCATGTGCCTGCAGTTATGACAGCCAGAGATCATGTCCCCAGGGGAAGATTCCTTTTTCTTACACATTGTCACCTTGCTATGTGGTCATGTCTAAGACAGTGGATAGAAAAGTAAAAAGTTCTGATGCCACATTTGTTCTTTTGGGTATAAATCTAGGATTAAATTAACTGAGTCATATGGTAATTCTGTGTTTCACTTGCTGAGACACTGTTTCCCACCTGCAATGTCTGAAGGTTCCAATTTTTCCACATCCTAACTAGCCCTTGTTATTTTCTTTTTTACTATTACTAGAGATTCTAGTGGATGTGAAGTGGCATCTCATTGTGGTTTTGATTTGTATTTCCCTAATAGCTTATGTTCAACATATTTTCATATGCTTATTGCCACCTGGATATGCTCTTGGGAGTAGTTACCCATTGCAAGTATGGAAATTACCTCGAAAAATGAGCTCTATTAGTACCTCACTGGAGGAGCTTTACGAAATACGTAGACCCCAATGCCTATGAGGGGCTGCATTTCCGAGAACTCTAAGTAAAGCTTGCACTGTTCAGTGCCACCTTTTCTGGTATATTCCTGAGTGAGTTTAAGTGGAGAGAAGGTGGTGTTGTTTGGTTTTTTTAGAAGGTGGTGTTTTGATGGGTTTGGTTTACAGGCAGTCCCTGGACTACAAACAAGATACTTTCCTAAGCATGTCTATAAGTCAAAGTTTTAGTTAAGTCTGAACAGGTGCATGGTATTTTTATTTAGCATTACTTTAGTGGTGCAAGAAAAAAAGAGCCTTGGTGGTGTAGTGTGTAAATGAAAAGTCATCGGTTTGAATCCACCAGTGGCTCTAAGGAGGCAGTGGTCTCTTCCCATAAAGATCACAGCCTCAGAAGTCTCAGTGTGCATCAGAACCAACTCGATGAGTTGGTTTCGTGCAAGTGGATGTTAGAAGTTGGTTCAGTGGTTTCAAAGTGAGGGCCAATTTACATGACATTAAAGGGCCAACACGAATAAGTCAGGAAGTTCATAACCTCCACCTGCCAGTATTTGTTTTCTAAATGGAAACTTAGTCCAAGCATATCCTATAGCTAATTACTGGGAAGGAATCATGAGGAACTTAATTAAATGACCCCTGAGGGGCTATGTCTTAGGCCAGTAGTTCGAAACTGTGGCTGCACACTGGAGTCACCTGGGATTGAAAAATACAAACCTAAGCCAGTGTCTCCCCACTGGAAGTTTGGAGGTAGTGGTTAGGGGTGCAACCTGCACAGGCTGGCTTTGTATTGTCTTTCAAAACTTCCCAGACGATTCCAGCATGCAACCAAGGTTGAGAATCACTTTGGGCTCTTTTTCACTCTTTAAATATTGTGGGGAGACTGGACTGGAAATCTGACATCTCATTGGGATTGATCTTAATATATGTAAAGGCATTCAAAGCGCCACTTTCTGTTTTTGTGTAGTTTGGTTTGTTGGGTTTTTTTTTTAAAGTTTTCACATTTTATTTTTTTGTCGCTTTTTGTTGTTTGGGGTTGTGTTTTTTTTTTTAGGGAGCAAAAATTTTCAACAGGCAGCATTTCAGTTATCAAACTAGCACATTCCACTTGCAGCTTTTGCTTAGAAAAACCCAAATATTGGTTCCTTTTAGTCTGCAAAGGAGCACTGGTGGCATAGTGCATTACATGTTGCCCTGCTTACTGGAAGGTCAGTGGTTCGGATCCACCAGCCACTCTGTAGGAGAGAGATGGGCAGCCTCCTCCTGCAAAGAAACCTGAGGCAGGGTTGATGGGCGTTGGAACTGACTTCACGGCAGAGGGTTGGGTTTGGTTAGCCTGAAAAATTCCTGTTTGCAAGCCAGTTTTGATGAAGGGGGATGTACCTCTTCAGTGCCATTGCGTTTCAGGGATTATATTTCAAGGGATTCATACTAAAAGCAGAGACCTGGTGACCAGTGATTAAAGCGCTCAGCTATAAACCTATTCTAGGAGAAAGAGTGGCAGCTCCCAGAGCCTAATAACCTGCCCCAAGTGCAGCACAGTCAGGGGACAGATCTACAGTGGGGGCTCCCTGCTCGCTGCCTCTGCCTGCTGATCCCTGCCATTTAGCGTCTTGTTTCCCAGTCTCTTTGGGGCGCATTAAAGCTGACCATCCTAAACTAAATGTAGACGGGCAAGATGTGTGTTGTGGTTGTGTTCTCTCTCTCTCTCTGGCGCAGTGTGCGCGCCTTGGAGTGTCTGTATATGTCACATGTCACATTTTGTAATTAACAGCTTGCTGGTGAAAAGAACTCCTCGAAGCGTTGGCTACAGACCAGACTGTAAGTGAATTACTTTTTGTCAATCATTTAACCATCTGTAACATAAATAGGCTTTAGGTGAAATGGTTTAGTGACTTGGGAGAATACTTGCTGAGGGGACACATTTGCAAGTATCTGATTTGTATGGGATACTTTTTGTGCCTAAATGATACCCTGTTCTTCCTTTTAGTTGTTGGCTTTGAGATTCCAGACAAGTTCGTTGTAGGATATGCCCTTGACTATAATGAATACTTCAGGGATTTGAATGTAAGTAGTGCTGCTGGTGGGGGGTTTTTTTCCCCCTTTTTTTTAAGCCCACACTTTCACTTTTCAGAGTCCAGAGAAAAACCTAGGAGCAAGAAGAATTCTTTTCTCTTCCTAGCACCTGCTCATCTGAGCGGTCTGATGATTTCCATTAGCCACATAAAGCCATAGTCAAGGCCAGGTGTCCTTAGAACTGGAACCTGGCCAGACTAGGGTGACACTTCTTCTCTGGCTGAAATCGTCAAACAAACAGCTCTGGTAGAGAATAACTGTCCCATTAGCATTTCAGATGGCAAGTGAGGCCCAAAGTAAGAAATAAAGGAGCTCGTTTAAGTCATCATTCCCTCCTCTGTACATATGCAGGAGGCCCATCGTGTCTTTGTGAATGGGGTGGAGGAAAATGATGACGACCGTACCAAGAAAAATGACAGCAGTTTGGACTCAGCCTTTCCATGTCACATTTTATAATTAACTCCTCTCGCCACCACTTTGATACACTTAAATCGTCCACTTCATCATTCAAAATGAAATATTGAGACAAAAAAATTTTATCCCAAACCAGTAAATCTCATGTGACAAAATACTGCTTTGTTTTCAAACAATAGGCTCAGTGTACTTTCCCCTTCCTGAGGTAATGGCCTAACGCGCGCATAATGACTACCTCTGTCCCCTCATTAAGAGCCCCACAGCCCAACACTGTTCTTAGACGGGATGTGAAATGCTGTTCTTGCCTATCTTCTCCACACGCACCTTTCTAATGGGTGTTTTCTGGGGTTTGTTTGTTTTCCAGCACATCTGTGTCATCAGTGAAACTGGAAAAGCCAAATACAAAGCCTGAGCAGAGGGTTCAAGTTGAAGGCTAGAGTTTGGCAACATCTGGTGTCCCTATGTGACACCCACGGTAAAATGATCAAACGTCCTAGTCCTGTGACCATCTGCTTTGTAGAGCTTTTTGCATGTGCCGTCTGCGAATTGAATCTGTTTTATATATTAGAAATGCCGGTTGCTGCAGTCCTGAACTCTTTATTTGCACTATGAACCTAGTGACGATGGTGAGCTGGATGGTGGTTGTCTGACTTGTGAAAAAGAAAACCTGTTAGACCGCACCACTCACGAGTGAAAATATTGAAATCATATCTGAAAGAAACGATTGAAGAGAAGAGATATTAGTTTTTTAATTGGTATTTTAGTTTTTATATATTCCTGAAAGAACGGGAATGATTGACTCTTGTTTGTTATACGACCGCGCGTTTAGAAAAGGGAAAACCAGTTGGCTTTTGCATCAGTGACACTATCTAAGAGTTTTCTTGGGTCCTGGATCATATCCTAAAATTTAGTAGTATTTCACTAGTATGAATGAACTTTCCCACTTGTTCTGATTATTTCTGGTGAAGCTTTGTCAACAGTTCATTTTAAATACAAATAAAATTTTTTTAAAAGAGCTTTTACCACTTTTTCAATTCTTTAGTATTAAAAAAGTCTATAAAATAAAGATTGTCTCTTTAAAAGACTATGCATACCTATCCTTTCTCTAAAGATTAACTCAGTAGAGTTTTTCTGCTGGTTACCTTTTCCTTGTCTGTGAACGTTTAGTAGCTTTTCATTATAATCTTTACCAAGCACAGGAAATAATGAATGTCTGGTAGAATGGTTTGGTGGAGACAGCAAATTTCCTCCCCAAAGTCCTCATAGCCTTCTTCATCTCAGTCAATACCAGCTTCTACCTTCTGTTAGTCACGTGAAACATAAAACATGGGTGTCACATCCCCCCCCTTTGTGTCCCACAACCAATCTGTCAGGGAACCCTGTCAAACAACAACTATATATATAGCAGGAGTAGCATCCACTTCCTAAACAACCTGCCTCTGGAAACTCTATGAACTTTGATAAATGTTGATAGTTGTAGAAAGACTTCAGGCCTTTTGTTCATAGGGTCGCTATGAGTCATGATCGACTCAAAGGCAGTCAACAACATATATGTATATATCCAGAATTTAAGTTTATTTATAAAAATTCCAATGTGTAGTATCAGATCCACATCAGCCACTCAAGATTGAGTGGGAGAAAAAATACACAACAAAACAAAAAATCAAATGTGCAATAAAATTCAACTGAAGACCAGGTGCCTTTACTGGTCTGAGAGAGGCTGTGAAATCTATGAGATCGGGCTACTTAGTCACACCCTTCAAGCCTGGAACTGAACTCACCCTTGCAGTCAAACAGCAGACAGACCTATACAAAGTGATCACCACCACCAGGGAGGCAGATGCTCCTTGGAAGAATTGACTGTGAGAGATCAGAAGGGAAGCATTTACTGTAGAAGGTAAGCAGGGATAGAAATGAAGGAAAACTGGAAATGGGAAATGGAGCAAAGAAGTAGGTATGTGGGCATTATAGTCCAGTGTCCCGAAACAAAATGTGTGTGATTTGTTGAATGGAAAACCAATTTGCTCTATAAAATTTCAGTCAGATGGCAGTAAGAAAAGTGAGAAATCCAACAGATAGGAAGGAGGAGACATACAGTGGATGGAGCTGGGTGATAGGAAGCAGAAAACCAAACACACTGCTGTTGACCCTCAGTGAGTTTCCCCAAAGGTGTAAATCTTTACCAGATCATCCTAGACTACTCTCTCCCCAAGTGTTTGCTCAAAAGGCACTCACTGAGGTGGGACCCCTCTTGAATACAACAGGTCCTCCTTTTCCCACCCACTCCGTTTTTCCAGTTGCACCTACCACCCCTATTAGGTTGAACCATATGAAATGACCATTTTTGTAGGTAGAAAATTGTTGGTTCTTGACCATTTTTATATTGGTTTGCTAACAAACTTTGTATATATTGGGTTTCAAACTATTCTTCATTCACATTGTGTGTCATACAATCATCCCATGCATTACGTTTTATATAACTTATCACCACTGAACCGTGCCCATCAATTTGCCTTTTGTCTTCATTTAGCATTTGCCTTCCATATTGACCCTAATGCGAGCTCCAGGAGAAGGGTAGGAATGTTGAATGCAAATGATAATTGGTCATTGAATGAGTAACTAATAGCTCTGGGTTAAAATGCCCTGGCCTTGCTTATTAGCTGTTTCCCATGGAACCAAGCTAGTTAACTTCAGAATTGTTTTCTGAGCGAGTTAATAGGACTAATGCTGTCATTTTATGGACTTAATGTGATACTTAATTAGGTTGAGATAGGGAGTCAAAATAGGATAATCATCTGGTGTATAGTCACCACTCCATACACAACAGTCGGTACAGGAAAGTTAATGTTCTGAGAAGTCAGGTGCACAACTAGTGAATGAGAGATCTAAGATTTAAACCTGGGTCTTTTTTATTCCTTTCACAAGAACATAAAGCTGACCTATTTTTCCTCTTCTAACTCCCTCAAACTCTAGTTAAGTGATGTTGTAGCTGCTTTACAAACTCAAGTACATATACAACTAGCATGTAGGTGCTCAGAAAGTGTGAACAATAGGAAATAAAAATGCAATTAAAATATTTGAAAATTATAATGTCTGAACTATCTATGATTGTTGTTTACTGGGAAGTCAAAACCAGCTCATAGCTGACTCTCCAGTGGATTTTCAGAGGCAGTAAATCTCATGTGAGGAGATTGTCCATCTTTCTCCCAAGGGGCAGCTGGTGGAGTCAAACTGTGTGCCTTTGGCTTGGCAGTACAATTCTTTTTTTTTTTTCTTCTCTAGCTAGTCAATTGGAATACATGTTTTAAAAAATTGATATATGTTCAATTGAAGATGACAATTTGTTCACCATTTATCACATCCATTCTTTAAACATAAAGTAACATAAAATATTAAAAAGAAGAATGCAGATATTACTGAGTTTAAAAATAAATAATCAAGGTGAAAGTTACCAGTAGGAAAGGCTTAGGGTATAGAAGCAGATCTTTTTTTATTGGTTTGTTTACAAAGTTCGGTATACATTGCATTTCACACTAGTCTTCATTCACACTGCTTCATACAACCATTCTCATGCATCATGTTTCATAAAATCTATCACTATTGGACCTTGCCCATCATTTACCCTGTCTTTTCTACTAGATCCTTCCCCTTTCCTTGTCCCCCTCCCTGTACTCACCAAACTGCAATCCTACCTGTCCTCATCCCTCCACTCTCACCTCTCCACTCCCCTTGAGTGCCTATACATGTTTTAATAGTTATCCTTCTATTTTAAAAATAATGGTCTTATGGATTACTTGTCTTTATGAGACACTGGTAGTTCACTCAGCATAATGCTCTCCAGCCTTTCCCAAGTTGTGTAGTATTTTTAAAAAGACTTCAAGTAGAATTGGTGATAAATCTTTTCTGAATGTTTTGGTAGAATTCAGCCATGAAACCATCTGGTCCAGGGGGAGGTTTTTTTTAATGACCTGCTCAATTTCTTCTTTTGTGATGGGTCTGTTCAAGTGTTCTACATCTGTTGGTGTCAATCTGGGTAGTGTATGAGTTTCAAAGAAATGTGTCCATTTCCTCTTAAGTTTTCAAATTTATTATAGTTTTTCATAATATTCTAAAATCAATTTCCTCTGGTTCAGTTGTGATGTCACCTCTATCATTAATTTAGTGACTTATTAGTGCCTTCTTTTTTTTTTTTTTTTGTTAAGTTTGCCAATGGTTTGTCGATTTTCTTGACCCTTTTGAAAAACCAGCTCCTGGTTTTCTTGGTGGTTTCAGTTGTTTTTGTGTTTTCTATCTCATTGATTTCAGCTCTAGTTCTTATAACTTTCTTTCTTCTAGAGGCTGGAGGGTTAGATTGTTGTTCTTTTTCACTTTGATGAAGTGTTGGGTTAGATCATTGACTTTGCTTCTTTCTTCATTTTTTTATGTTTTTGCCTATTGCAAAACTAGCCCCTGAGCACTGCGTTAGCTGCATCCCAGAGGTTTTGGATCTTTCTTTTTTTTTCGTTCTTTATTTCTTCTGTAACCCAATCATGCTCTAGCAGGGTGTTATTTAGCTTCCACATTGGTGATTTTATAAGCTTTATTCTCTTTCTAGTTTTATAGCATTGTGGTCTAAGAAGATACTTTGTATCATTTCAATGCTTTTGAATTTTGGGTCTCTTGCTTTGTGCCCTAATATGTGATCAGTTCTGGAAAATGTGCCATGTGCACTTCAGAAGAAAGTGAGTTCAGTTTTAGTTGGCTGCATACTCGGAATACATCCACAAGGTCGAGTTGGCTGAATGTATAATTTAGATTTTCTGCATCTTTGTGAAGTTTCTTTTGAGTTGACCTATCCTTTGGTGAGAGTGGTGTGTTAAAGTGTCTTCTACCACTATTGTCGTGTTATCTCTTTCTTCAATTCTATTAACCTTTGTATTATGTATTTAGCAGGTCTATCAATTGCCACATACATGTTGACCAATGTTATGTCTTCTTGATCTACTGTGCATTTAATCCTTATCTTTTATGGTGATTTTCATTCTGAGGTTTATTTTATCAAAGATTAGTATTGTCACTCCTGCTTTTTTTTTGGATGTCATTTGCTTGGTATATTTTTTCCCAGCCCTTGATTTTAAGTCTACCTTTCTCTTCATTTATTAGATGTGTCTCTTGGAGACAATGTATTATTGGGCTTTGCTTTTTATCCATTCTGCTACTCTCTTTCTCTTGATTGATGCATTTAGTCCATTCACATCAAGTGTGATATTGACAGGCCAGGTTTTATCATTGCTATTGTGCTGTGTTTCTTTTTTTATTGTTTCTGGTTTCTATGGTCTGTCCACTTTCCTTTGGTGTCTCTGTGTAAAAGACTTCCCACTTCCCTTAAAAGTTCTTCTAGATTAGTCTTGTTTTCACAAATTCCTTAAGTTC